TAATCTTCTGGATTTCTGATTGCTGTCTCTCTATGGATTCTTGCAGCCTGTTAAATTTGTCATTATGCTCTTCTCTAATCTTTTTAATTTCCTCTATTGAGTGTTCTACACTTTGCTTAATTTCCTTCCTAATTTCTTGAAGAGTTCTGTATATTAATCTTTTGTATTTTGCCTCCAGTAATTGCAAGGAATTTTCCTCCTCTGGAAAATTTCTAGATTCATTATTTTGGGAGCTTGCTGAAGCCATCATGAATTGCCTCTTTATGTGATTTGATGTTGACTATTGTCTCTGAGCCATCAATAAGTTATTATATTTATTTTATGTTTCCTTCCTGTATCCTAGCTTTTTGTTTTATTTTGTTATGCCCTAATAGGCTGTTCGTATGAGGTAGTTTGATTATTGGCACCTTTGAAGCTCTAATGTCCTGTCACCAGGTGGTCAGATCTGTTACTAAGTATGTGAGCTCAGGTGTCTCCCCACTCTCCCTGTATGGATTCAGCTCAGGTGCCCAGGTAGATAGCCACCAAGTGTGTGGTGTAGGCTCTCACTTACAGTCCTAGAGAGGCATGGGTGATTGGTGTAGGCACAGGCATCTGGCTGCAGCAGAGGGACACACTCTGAGCACGGCAGGAGGCTGACGCTGCCCACCCACCCCACCCCCGAGTGTCCAGGAGGAAGGCATGTCTCTGTTCCCTAGAGCGCGTAGGTGGGTGGGTTTTGCAGCCAGACTATGAGCACCTAATGCTGTTGGCTGTGAGGACTGAGGGCACCTCTTATTCTCGGGTCCCTATTGCAGGTGTGTAGGTGGCGCAGGTGGAGCCACCAGTCCTCAGGCCATTGAGGTGGGTAGGTGAAGACCCTGCTTAATGGGCAGAGCAGTGTCAAATGTCAAGAACCTGCCTCTTCACAGCTGAAACAGTTGAAATTAGGGTTCCAGTATATATCCTGTTGTACTGTGGTAATGAGGGCCTACGCTGTTGAGATGGGCCCACACAAGTCTGTGCGGGGGAAAGGCACACAAAATCCATGTATCCCTTATGCTTGTGCCTAGGCAAAGGAGCTCTGCCTACCCTGGTGTCCTGGCTTAGGGGTGCCAGCAGTTTATTTTTTCCCGTTTGTTAATTTGTTCACTCTCCAAGGCAGGGATAATGGCTCCGGGTGTGTGACAGATCCTACTTCCAGCCCAGGGAACTCAGCAATTGCTGAAGCCGGTCCAGGACCCAGTGCAGAGCAGGGAGTGGGGAGGTAAATGGCAGAGAGGTTTTTCCCTAAGGGGGGTGTTTTTGATCCGCACGGTAAGCTGTATGCAATTGCTTATCTTTCGCCGGATTGAGGGCTGCTTCTCACTGATTCTAGACTCTCAGCATCTGGGTCTCTCCCAGTGTGGAAAACGTGCCTCTGGAGCACAGCTGTTTGCCTGCCTCATGGCTCACCCCCGAGCTGATCAGGCCTGAAGGGTTCAGGGTCTCGCCCTGTCATGTCTGGCTCCTCATTGCTTCTGAACCGTCTTTCCCGCCCCCTGCCACTCAGTCTGGTTCTTCAACTCTGCCTTTGATGTTTTGGCTCCCAGATTGCCATATATAATCGAATCACTTGTTTTTTTGGGTCTTTGATGTAAAAGCGTCCACTGGAAGCATCTGACTCCTCCACCATCTTGGCCCCACCTCTCCAGAAATTATTCTTTCTATATCATCTATGAAAAAAACTGTTAGTGTAAATAAATGAATAAGTGATTTGACAAAGTTGAGGGTTTTAATTTAGATTTTCTTCTGCACATATCACTTATATGACTGTCCAGAAACAAAATATAAATTACATTTTGAAGCTGGTTCATTTGATACAAAACTAATCTTTTTTTTGAGACAGACTACCCCCAGTAGTGTAATGCTGTTTATGTATATGAATGTATATGAAATGGAGAGTATTATTTCTGCATGAATTTGATCAGAAGACATAAGTGAAGGTTTTCTGTAAATAGTCACAAATAAAAGATACTCTCAAATGAAAGTTACATAATAATTTTCAAAACATTATATAATGAAGTTGTAAAATCAATATATTAATAATTAAAGTCCTAAAATGCAAACTGCCCATATTAAACTAAACCCCATTGTAAATAAATCAAAAACTTATGTCAACTGAAATTTTAGTACCTAATCTGTAGACTTGATTCACATATCATACTGACTTTTATGGCTGGAAGAGTAGGAACATTGAGAGCACCTACTCATTTACCAGCCAGAAGCCTGCAGGGCACATTTTTGCTACCTGAAACTTATTTCCTCGAAAATTCCCATTCTTTGTCAACTCTATTTGGCTCTTCTCTCCTTCTCTGTGCAGTTTGGCATCTCAGTATAATTGGAGTTGGGCTACACTGATCTGTCCATATGCAAAGCAGCATAAGGATGAAGGGGAAAAAAGAGAAACTTGTTTTTACCCTGGCTTCCAACCGGCTTGTTCAGGTTCTGAATCCCTGCTGACAATTTGCATTTCTAGCAAGTTCCCCGACAGTGCTAATGCTGCTGGTTAGGGACCAATTCTGAGAATCACTAGTGGAGCAGTGGTTCTCAAAATTTATTATACATAAGAATCACCAGAGCATCTTGTTAAAATGTTGATTCTGATTCAGTATATCTGGGGCATAAATGCAAATTCTCAGCAGGGATTCAAAGCCCTGGTTTTTACATAAGGTCATCTTGGTTCTAGACTCCAAGATTAAAAGGGAGCAACGTGTTAGGCCCAACTTTTGTAGATTTACCGACTTTCTGGTTCAGCTCTCAACATGTTCCTAAATTTCAGTTTTTCCTCAAACAGTTTAAAAACAGGTCTTCTAGTTTAAAATGGTAATGATTACTTTCGTGTAGTTCTTGATGCTTTTTTGCCTGCTTCTAACTGTCCTTTCTTCAGATATAGTAGCAACCTTCCTGAATAGCATTTTTCCCATCTTCAGTCCACTCTTATTTTTCAAAATGTTTTATTCAATCTTCTACAAAGATCTGTATTTTTCTGAGAAATATTTTGGTTCAAAAGAAAGAGCTGTCGTGTTAGAGGCTATAATTTAGTAGCTAACACAATATTGACAAAGAAAATGATTTTCCCTAGTAGGAAAATATCCTGTGAAGGACAGTCAGACTATAAATCATGCCTTTTTTTTCATATAATATGCGTAGTCAGAATTGTTTCCTGATGTTTTTTAAAACTATTTTTACAGTCCCAGTGGGTCTTTGTTATCTTGCTTGGAGCAGGTTAAAACATACCTGCTTACTGACGGAACATGCAAGTGTGGCTTGGAATGTCCTCTTATCCTTCCCAAGGTAACCGTTTCACAAAAGATCTATCAGCAGTTTTTTTTGTTTTTTGACTTTTTTGTCTTTATGTGTTTTATATATTTGCTTTTCTCATTTGGCATTTTATTTTTCTATAACTTCTCCAACATATATGCAATTTAAATCTTTGCCTAATTAGACATCTTTTGCATGCCTTTTGGAACGCTTAAAAGATTGGAGGGGGAAAAAAAGGATTGTAGAAATAGTTCAAATCCAAGAGTCATTTTCAAAGGTGACAAATCTATATTCATATTAAATATTTCATTAAAACTACTTTTGCACCTTTTTACTAGAGCTATACCTATGCTCTATATTTAAATAGTGCAAAATTTTCTTTTACATTAACTGTTCAAATCTGATGTTATTGTTAGCACTAGTATTGGTGATGTTGATAAATCTGCCACAAATCTTTCTAAAATCACAAAGCTGAACCCTCATAGCCAAAACTTGAAACTGTTTCACTCCTGTAAAAGGTAAAAAGTAAAATAATTTTAAATAGCAATATATTATTTACTATAGAAATAGGTCATTGCTCTCTGGATGTCTATTATAGTGCTACATTTAGAACTGAATATTAATAGACAACTTTTTCCTTTTCACTTGTATGTCACCTCACTCTCCCCTCCCCGAAACAGGATTTGAACCATCTTACAATGATATATATAATAAAAAAAAATTTTTTTTTAAAAAACAGAGAAATTCTTGAAATTGGAGTGAAAAGGTACTATTAATACAGTAATAAAGTAAAAGACCAAAGAAGAAGTTGGCATGTAGAAATATTATAGCTTTTTGGGTTTTTTTTTTAACTTTATTTCATCTGTTTTTATTCTGTTATAACGTGAGGAAGTATCTAAAACTGGAAACATTATCAGATATTGTACCTTTACATATATTTATCTTGGCTATTTTAGAATTAGGATAATTTTAATTAGTTACTTTGTCACTGAAACTCTTGAGCAGACGTATTTATTAAGTTATATAAAGTTGTTTTTCTTAAATTTAAAAACTTAAAGTTTTGTTCAGATTTGTGGTCTAATGTGTGCACAACAATTTTTTTTTAAGAAGTGGATCTTTTTATTAAATGTTTTAACAGACATATTCTAAAAAAAAGACTGTACTTTTTCCAGGTGTTTAATTTTGATCCTGGAGCTGCTGTGAAACAGAGAACTGCAGAAGATGTTAAAGCAGATGAAGATGTCACAAAGCTATGCATACATAAAAGAAAGATCATTGCAGTGGCCACACTTCATAAAAGCATGGAAGCCCCACATCCTTCTCTGGTGCTCACCAGTCCTGGAGGAGGAACAAGTAAGTAATAACGGTGAAGGGTTTAGGAGTTCGCCTCCCCCACTCCTTTCCTAGAGAAGGAATCATTAGAAATCACTTTGCCAAACATTTTCTCTTCTGCTTTTCAAGCATGCACAATGCTTTTAAAGTTCTGTGTTCTATCATTTTATTACAAAATAGCAAATTAGTTTTGTAAAACTACCATGAGGTTGTTTCCCAAAACCTCCTGTCCAGATCATCTAGTTAAACAAGCAGAATAAACACTAATTAGCACATAAAAATGCTATGCAGATGTGTAGAGCTGCACTAACAAAAGAGGAAGTGCCACTGCTTTTTAGGAAACAAATGGATCCTTTTTCATTAGGGTTAGAATTGGAATGTGTGGTATCAAGTCCTCAAATGCAACATAGCAGTGTTGTCAGGGACTAGCAACCTTATTCTTTCACTGTAATAGTTACTTATTGAACACCTACTAAACAGAAATCACTTTGCCAGGAATTTTTTAAATCTCCTTCCAAACACACACACACACACACACACACACACTTTTATTTTTTTAAAAATTCAAAGCTGCAGAAAAGTTACAAATATACTTCGAGTAGCCATGTCCTCTTCACCTCCATTCGCCAATTAACATTTTGTTGCATTTGCTTCCCCCATCCTTCCTGCACTTATTTTTGGCTGAACCTTTTGCCAAGAAGTTGCAGATACTGTGACAGTTCATCCCCAAATATTTCAGCACATAGGAACATCTCCTGCATAACCACAGTATAATTATCCCATTCAGGAAATTTAACATTGATATAATATTATTATCTAATACACAGTCCATATTCAGAATTCTTCAATTGTCTTAATAATGCCCTTTGTTGCTTTTTTTTAAATCTAGCCTTTTTTTTAAATCCAGGATGCAATCAAAGTTTGTGCATTGCATTTAGTTATTGTTGTAATTCTTTAATCCAGATCAATTCCCCAGTGTTTTTCAGTCTTTCATGAACTGACATTTAATTAAGAGTCCAGGCCAGTTTTGCAGGATGTTTCTCAATTTGGATTTGCCTGATTGTTTCCTCACATTTATACTCAGATATGTGTGTGTGTATATAAAACATTTACCTGAGTATAAATATGTATAAAACATTACTTCGGGGCAGATATCCCAATAAGCAAGGTAAGCATGGTGGGTTTACTTGTGCTTACTAATCTGTAGTGAACAATTTCACATTTTTTCACCTCATCCAGGCTTCTCCTTTTAGGTATGGCTGGCATCTGTCTCTCTCTCAAGCCCACAGCACCTTCCTACAGAATCAAAGCCTGTTTTCACATTTACAATCCTTGTCAGGGATAGATTACCCAGTAAGCAAGGTAAGCACAGCCACTTTTGCATATTTACTAATCTGTAGTAACCAGTTTCACATGTTTTCCACCACATCAAAGATAATGTGAAGATGTTCACTACAGATGTGGTGAAAAACATTAAACTGTTCAGTACAGATGAGTAAATACCATGCTTACCTTGCTTATTGGGGAATCTGCCCCTGCATTACACACACACACTTTTTGTTAGGAATGCCACATAGGTGATGTTGTGTGTTTATCGGGAGGCACATAATGCCAATTTATTCCATATTGATGATTGCTTGGTTAAGGTTGTGCCCATCTGATTTCTCCATTGTTAAGATACCATTTTCTTTTTATGATTAATATGTAATCTCTGAAACTACATTATACTTTGAGACTGAGGAATTTCTTCTCTTAAGGGCTAGAATATGAACTCCCTCTAAAATATTACAGTCTAGTTAATACTTGAGTAGTAATTCAGGCTAAAATATGGCTAAGCACAAAAACATTTGTTTATGCACAGTAAGTAATGTTGTTCTCTGAAGTTCTGAAAAATAGGAATGATAAGTATAGCCTTTAGTGATCAAAGAAGGCTTTATGGCAGAACTAAAATTTGAACCAGCCCTGGGAAATAGTAGCATTTAGACATAGGAGGGGATAGGAAAATTATTGTCCAGAATGAGTAAAATGTAATTATAGCATAATTAAGGGATGATGCGGAATAATCCGACTTAAGTGGAAGATTAAGCCTGCATATGCAAATTGGGGCCAAATTATTGAGAGCCTTGGATATGAAGAGGAGCAATTTTGACATCATACAGGTAATTAAAGATTCACACTTATAACTCATGTGAACAGGGCAGGGAGAGACAAATTTGACAGTTATTAGAATAGAGCTCCTATCCAATAACCTTCTAAACTTTAGCAGGAATGGTGAGAAAAAAATGCTCCACTAAGGTACGTAAGAAAAAAAAAAGTTTCAGGGGATCTTGTTGTTTTCTTTTAATGAGCTACATTTTGATAATTAAAAGATATTATAACAATTTAAAGTTACCATTATCCCAGCACCTTGATGTATAACTATTTTTTTTCTCATATTACCTTGCACCCATGTGGGCACATACTCTATTTGCTGCTGTTCTCCCTTCATATTACATCATAAATAGTTTTACAAGTTTCTATAGTCTCTCTAATTGACATTTTAATGAACCTAGCGAATCTTCTTCCAGGTCATGTGTCGTATTTGTAAATACAAGTTTAATTCTTGAAAGGTAAATATTTTACTAGCACTGGTAATAGATACATCTCCATCCCCTTTAAACTTGTACATTTTGATGGATTAATTGCTACTCCTTCACTAGCTTCAGACATAACATTTATTATGATTTCTTAATTTTAAAATATGTTATCATATGGTTGAGTTTTAAATAATCAAAAGTTCAAAGACTTGTATAGTAGTTTTAACCTCTTCATTTTACATACATAAATCATAAGTTTCTTTATTCTTTTGAAAGGTCTGCTTGAATATACATGAAAGCACTCGATGGGTGCCTAGCATTTACATTTGCCAACTCGTGTATGCTTTAGTCCCTAACTGTGACATAACCCCAACCTGTCTTTTGATTGTTTGTTTAATATTGCTGTTATTTTAAAGATGTTAACTATTTTTCCTCAGATATGGAAGAAATCCTTTCTTAACCAAGCTAATTTCTAAATTCCTTTAGTTGAATATAAAAAGTGTCTGTATTTTTAATCATTGAGTTGTAGATAACTAAATATATAAATACATTGATACCCAAGAAGAGATACAAGTCAGTGGTTTTATTACTGAAGATAACATAGTCAATTTCATGATAATGCTAATAATGTTAATACAGTTATATTCTTACTATATGCCAAGTACAATGCCCCAAGTATTTTTTACGTATTATTTCTTTAATTACAAACTTAAAAAAAAATTTCTCTTTAACAAGAAAATCAGCTTCAGTCCAGTGTATCTGCTGAAATTTCCTTATTCTGTTGGCTCTCAACTTTTCATGTATTATATTCCAGAAATCACTCTATCAAAGAATCTGAGCTCTACCACAATGGAAAGAGAAAGCCCACGTTTCCCAAGAAAAACATATGTTCACTGCATTCCCTTACTACTTGAGTGCATCCTGCCTAGACTTCTGTGTACCCCAGATTGAGAATCACTGTCTGTGGAGCCTTGGTGGTGCAGTGGTTAAGCGCTCCACTGCTGACTGAAAGGCGGGTGATTCGAACCCACAAGCCACTTCACGGGAGAGAGATGTGACTTTGACAGTCTGCTTCCATAAAGGTTACAGCCTTGGAAGTCCTGTGGGGCAGTTCTACTCTGTCCTTTAGGGTCGCTATGAGTTGGAATCAACTCAACAGCAATGGGTGTTTTGATTTGGTCTTAGAAATTGTTATGACACAATTTGACCTATATACTATCTAGCAGGTAGGAGAACTATATTTATATACTTAAATGTGTGTTCATGCATTTAAATAAATATACTGGTTGCAAATGAATTTAAGTATACCTGCTAATATTGTAGGTCACAGAATGAGGATGACAAGTATATAGCATAATAGTACCACTTTCATCTCCTGTGCTTATAATAGATAAACACATTGGCAGTTTCTCATGGAACCCAGCCACAGCTCAGCATCCTTTTCAACACAGCTCTCTAAGCAGCCACTACCAATTGATGAGAATTGTCATATGAAATGAATTTTATTTGCCATCCATGTTTTAGAAGACACAACTTTATAAAATAGTTAAACACCCTTAGGGGCTAAAAAACTTAAACTTAGAATTCCAACATGATAGAGTGAAAATTCTGTATGATGCGCTAGCTTGCTTTTGTTGCCTATATTCTGTCTGATCTCCAAAAGGACTGAAGGGATGCCAAAAAGCTGGGGAGAGAGAAGTGTATTCGTGTAAAAAGAGAATACTCGATTGGACCCTAGTACTGAAGGGTTTAGCACCCTGACTCAATTTTGCTTGAGAATTCTATCCTAATAAAAGAATTGCAATCTTTTACCTAAATTGGTTGGCTAAGGCCATTTTTACAGAAATGACTGATTAGGGGCAAATAAATTACATTGTTACAGACGTGATATCAAGCTCAGCATGATCGCAACATCACTGCATTTTTTTGTTATCACTCTCATAAAAGATTCAGAATCCATTCAGTTACTTCACAAAAATTAAAACTCTTTTACTCTCACAGTGAAAAACGTTGGGATAAGTAAGTGTTACTGTAGCTGTCCTGAGGCAGTTTCAGTAGGGTAACAAACATTTACAGGGTACCAGATTTTCTGGTACAATGGTGATTTATTCACATCAGCCAAGAAAATATTACACCACACAGATTACAATTCTTTGTTGTAACTGTGTTCTTTAAAAATCAAATCCAACAAGATAACAACATCACCATTTCCATCTGGGCTGTCAATCTTGATTTTGCGTATTATTATTATTTAATATTATTTGAATGGCTAATGTCAGTATGCACTGATTTAAATCCCCATCCTTTCTTAACAGACAAGAGGCAAACAAGTATGATACACAGTTGTTAGGACTTTGGTCAACTATAAGAGATATGTGTGCATTTTTTAACTCAAAATTTAATACAGAGCATAAAACATTTTTAATTGCATAGAGTTGCAGCTTCTGTTTGCAAACTTCTATTTCCAGATTCTCTCCTTTATTTCCTTCTTTCCTCCCCTCCCCCAGTAGCACACATGCACAAAAGAATTGAGACTATTAACTGTTTTTTTTTTCTCTTTCACATCAGATGCAACTCCAGTAGTACCTTCTCGGGCAGCAACTCCAAGATCAGTAAGAAATAAGTCTCATGAAGGAATTACAAATTCTGTGATGCCAGAATGTAAGCATCCTTTCAAGTTAATGATTGGATCATCAAATGCCATGGGAAGGTTGTATGTACAAGAACTGCCTGGGAGCCAGCAACAAGAACTCCACCCCGTCTACCCCCGGCAGAGATTGGGCAGCAGTGAACATGGACAGAAGTCTCCGTTCCGTGGCAGCCATGGAGGCCTGCCCAGCCCAGCATCATCAGGATCCCAGATATATGGAGATGGCTCAGTCTCTCCAAGGACTGACCCACTTGGAAGCCCTGATGTTTTCACAAGAAGTAATCCTGGTTTTCATGGAGCTCCCAATTCTAGTCCTATTCACCTGAATAGGACTCCACTTTCTCCACCTTCAGTAATGCTACACGGTTCTCCTGTACACTCATCCTGTGCAATGGCTGGAAGGACTAATATACCTCTTTCCCCAACCTTGACTACAAAGAGTCCAGTAATGAAAAAACCAATGTGTAATTTTTCAAGTAATATGGAAATACCACGAGCAATTTTCCACCACAAACCACCCCAAGGCCCACCACCCCCTCCTCCACCTTCTTGTGCTCTTCAGAAAAAGCCATTAACATCTGAGAAAGATCCACTTGGCATTCTTGACCCTATTCCTAGTAAACCAGTGAATCAGAACCCTGTTATCATTAATCCAACCAATTTCCATTCAAATGTCCACTCTCAGGTACCTGTGATGAATGTAAGCATGCCTCCTGCTGTTGTTCCTTTGCCAAGTAATCTCCCTTTGCCAACTGTAAAACCTGGGCACATGAATCATGGGAGTCATGTACAAAGAGTTCAGCATTCAGCTTCAACCTCCCTGTCCCCTTCTCCAGTGACATCCCCAGTGCACATGATGGGGACTGGAATTGGAAGGATCGAGGCATCCCCCCAAAGATCACGTTCATCTTCCACGTCATCAGATCATGGAAATTTCATGATGCCACCTGTAGGACCCCAGGCCACTTGTAGTGGTATTAAGGTTCCACCCAGGTCACCAAGGTCAACAATAGGGTCCCCAAGACCATCAATGCCATCAAGCCCTTCTACCAAGTCCGATGGATATCATCAATACAAGGATATCCCTAATTCATTAATTGCTGGAATGAGTAATGTACTAAATACCCCAAGCAGTGCAGCTTTCCCTACTGCATCTGCTGGAAGTGGTTCTGTAAAGAGTCAGCCTGGTTTGCTGGGAATGCCTTTAAATCAGATCTTGAACCAGCACAATGCTGCCTCCTTTCCAGCAAGTAGTTTACTCTCAGCAGCAGCCAAAGCACAGCTAGCAAATCAAAACAAACTTGCTGGTAACAACAGTAGCAGCAGTAGCAATTCTGGAGCTGTTGCCAGCAGTGGCAACACTGAAGGACATAGCACTTTACACACCATGTTCCCTCCTACTGCCAACATGCTTCTCCCAACAGGTGAAGGGCAAAGTGGTCGAGCAGCACTAAGAGATAAGCTGATGTCTCAGCAAAAAGACTCAATGCGGAAAAGAAAACAGCCACCTACCACAGTATTGAGCCTGCTCAGACAGTCTCAAGTGGATAGTTCTGCAGTTCCTAAACCTGGACCCGACTTGCTAAGGAAGCAGGGTCAGGGTTCATTTCCCATCAGTTCAATGTCTCAGTTACTACAGTCTATGAGTTGTCAAAGCTCTCACTTGAGTAGCAATAGTACCCCGGTTTGTGGGGGCTCAAATACTGCTTTGCCTTGCTCTGCTAACCAGCTGCATTTTACAGATCCCAATATGAACTCCAGTGTTCTTCAGAATTCACTGACACAGAACATACCTTTAAGAGGGGAAGCCGTGCACTGCCACAATGCAAACACTAACTTTGTTCACAGTAACAGTCCAGTCCCAAACCACCATCTTGCAGGTTTAATAAATCAGATTCAGGCTAGCGGGAACTGCGGGATGCTCAGTCAGTCCGGCATGGCTTTAGGAAATTCATTACATCCCAATCCACCTCAGTCAAGAATTTCAACGTCCTCCACTCCAGTGATACCAAACAGCATTGTTAGCAGCTATAATCAAACAAGTTCTGAAGCAGGTATGGTTTTATTAGAAAAAAGTACCCAAAGGTACTAAACTTTTCTACGTTTTTTAAATTTGTACCAAAATATTTATTATGATAAGAGATGATCCTTTCCCCATTGTGAAATTCTCATCATTTCTTTAGTATTTATAATTTTATTTACAGAACGCTAGGTATTTGTCTATTAGGAAAAATGACAGCCAAGGGTATTCCATTGTTTCCGTTATTTGTTGTCAATCTGTGTCATTTTGAGCATTGTTTGACTTTCAGTTGGTTATATAATCATTGGACTTTAAACTGCAAAAGAAGCCATAGAAGGCAGGGTTTCCGAGTTCGTGAAACATGTACTTGGTCTATGCCAATATAAAAGCCGTTTTCGCTAGCTTTTGCTTGTATTCAAGTAAATGAAGCTCATCTTGGAAAACCCAAAAAAGGCAAAGATAAATGGATATTTTTTTCTTGCTGCTGACCAGAAATAGGTGAATGGATAGGAAAAGGTAACAAGAAGTTGTATGAAGTAGAAAGCCATCTTCTAATGTTTTCTTATCCTAGTTTGCTATTCTTTACTATTATTTGCTTGAGAACATTCAAAAATGGATATTGGCTACTCCCTTTATAAAAAAAATAATAATAATTTAAGTTTTCTAATAAAAAAGCCTTGAAAACATGATTTCCAGAATTTTTTATCTGAAATTATTTTAGAATTTTTCTTGTAGAACTGAACCATCATTTTTACCACTGACATTAAGGTTTTGAACCCAAATTTACTGTTATCTCTTCATCCACTATTCATGAAGGAGACAGACTTATTTAAAAGTAGGCACATTAGAAAAAAGAACTGTGTTGTGTGCAATAGAGTCCCCAAAAATGTTACAAAGAAATTGTAAAGAAGCACTGAAGAGGTAAAGTCGTTGAGGCATCAGAAAACTTGACCCTGAAAACATTAGAAAGTACACCCAAAACCCAACACTAATGATTTGAGAGCTTTATGAGAAATGCCAGAAGGAAATAAAAGGCAATGTTAGAGAGAATATTATTCAGATATGAAAACAGCGGGCTTTAAAAACCAGATTGCTGCTGGATATGAGAAGACTGCTGAGGCTTTTAGTAATAAGCTATTGTATAGATATGTATAGAGTATATTAACCACCGTCCTGGAAAAGTATTATAACCTACATGTCTTTTGTTGCTGATCTAAAATCAGATGTTTTCGTTCCTAGTGTTGCCATTTATACCTGCCATCCTCCACAACTTGTGTTACGTGTTATGTTTTGATGTTAGTATTTAATGAAGAACTGTTCAATGACCTCTTATGTTAAAAGAGTATAAGGTTTAGAAGATATTTTAAATGATTAGTGCCTTCTTGATATTCTTAGTCTAAGAAATCTCACAAAAGTTTGTTTTTTATGTGTTTAACAGGATACTTATGCCATAAGGGCTTCCAGTTTTTCCCAGGCTCATCTTCATTTTTAGATAATTCCACACAAATGAAAATTTCATCTTGTGCATTTAGCAGATCAAAGTTACATAAAGTCAATAACTATTTAAAAAACACCTTATTTATTGAGCATACCATCAATCATTTAGATGAGACAGTGTTAGTCTCATTATATTATGCCTATAAGTTTTGATACCCCTTACCTCGACTTATTTCGTTTCAGGTCTAAATTCATATGTGCAAAGTGTATGTATTTTTTTTTAATGATGTATTTTAATTCATTTATAATGGAAAAGACCAGCATTTATTTATATTCTTGTTTCTTCCAGTTGTCAAGTTTAGACTAATTTTATGTAGCCTTGTTCATTTTCTCCTTGCTTCATGCATTTCTGTAATACATCTGACCTGGATGGCCAGTACTGGGGTGTCAAAACACAGAAGTTGAAAATTTATTAATATAAATGTTAGCATATAAAATAGCTAGAATAAATATCTAATAATGATACAGATGTGGCCAATCATGTGTAAGCTAACAAGAAGCATATGCTTAATAAAAGTCTAGGTCAGTAAGGATTTTAAAAATACAAAACCTAATAAAATTAAATACTAATTAATTTACATAGGTCTGATATCCAGCTAGTTATGAAAATAGATAGATTTACTAATTAATGTAACTCTTTGATACACTAAATATTGAAGAGGTTTCTAATGCCATTTTTCTTTTTTGATGTGTAGTAAACTGTGACAACTGAGTGCTGTCATTGTAATTGCCTAGCCTAAATATCCATTTACACTGACATTTAGTCACCCATCAAGTAATCATATAGCACGAAGGTTGGCATTCAGAGTGAAACAACAGATGACAGTCACAGCTCTCCCTGTAAGTGTTGCTAGATATTCCTAGCAGACCAATTAGACATGAGAAGAAAAACACATTTTATTCTTAAAATGTTGGTTAGACCTAACATTGAGTACTGATTTTGTGTCAGGTGATTTACCTATATTATTTCTAATTTGTACAGCTTTCCAAAGTAGAAGGCTTTATTGTCCCCATTTTACAGATGAGGGAACTGATTCTCCGAGAACTTAAATTTAACTGCCCAGGATCACACATAATTGCATCAGGATTTGCATCCAGGTTCATCTTTCTGAAATCCATTTTCTTCCTGGCTGTATAAGTTCCCTCATCTGAAACATTTAGTGATCAAAAATATTTTTTCAGTTTCAAAATTTTTTAAATTGTGAAACAGATAATGAATTAAAGTGCATTGATGCATGTTAGAAGCCACATTTGTAAACTTTTGATGCACTTTTAGTTATCAACAAAAGTTAATTCTTTTTGCCTCCTTTCTTTAGACTTTGATATCATAGTGTACAACGATTAGAATGTTTGTGTCAATGCAGGTGAAATGTCCAGAATGTAAAGAGAATTGCCCCTCACTTCTGAATCCCATCTGGTAACCTTTGTTTAATGAATTGCTATCACCTTACTTACTCAGAGAGTGGGTTTTGTAGTGGGTGATGTGTCACTAGACCTTTGAAAGAGGTGACTGTGCAGATGCTAGTCATGCCATTCCAAGCATGCTGGAAAATCTAAAAGAGACCCACAGGTAGCATGGTCCGACTCTACCCTTTCAGAGATAAGGCTGCTGGGCCCAAAAGTGTTTATGACTGGTTACAGAGCCCGAACAGAACTCCAGTGACCTTCTGCCCAATCCAGTGTCTGTTTTCTACTCTCCTAAGGAGTAGCTCCAAAATAATATACTACCTAAGACATTAATTAAGATGAGAAATCTTTCACTTGCTCTGAAAACACTTACTTTGATTGATAATTTTTCAGGAACTTCTTTTAAAGAGAGTTTTTCCATCATAAACCAAATACTGATTTTTAGGCCATGGCAGTTCCATGGGACATATGTGAATTCCATGGGACACATTTTAAATGTATTGCAATCCAAGAATGGAAATTGGAGGCAAAGATTAGTAACAAAGTGAGATAAAAGACAAAATTCTTAGAAAACATTTCTAAAATAAAGGATATACAAGGCTTTATTCTATTTAATGTTTTCAAACTGCCAGTCCTCTAAAACTCTCTAAACACTTTGCATTATAAAGTTTACAGATTTCTATTAGCTTTTTCAATATCAAATTATAAGTTAAGTTTAATATTTCAGTATAACAGATTTCAAAACTGACCAGTAGGACACTTGATGACGTTCCTCAAGTTATAAAGCAAAGGTCTGGTGGATCTGACAACCAAACCCCAAAGTTCCTGAATCTTAGTCCAACACTCAGACTGCTAAAGGAAAGTATGTTCTGGAAATCCACCAGTAATATACATTTAAAACAACTTGCAGTTTTTTAAGAGAGACAAATTTCAGCATTTAAGTGGCTCCAGCCCATGTCCCGTGCTGCTGCAGTCTGGGAAGGAATTCAAAATCAAGAGCCTTTGGCTGGCAAACTGCATCAGATCCACACCTCTTTGGGCCTCTTTACTACTGCCTGCCTGCTGACTCTAACAAAAACACTATAAGTAACCCAGGCTTCTGCAGAGGACTTAGATCTTGCCAGTGTCCACTCAACAACCCATCCCTTCTGCAGCCTTGCAGTTTTTCACAATTTTCAAAGAAAAAGATTTAGACCATGCTGCTAATCAACAACTGGCCCCTGTTGTTGTTAGGTGCCGTCAAGTCGATTTCAACTCATAGCACTCCATGGAACAGAGTAGAACTGCGCTGTAGGGTTTTCTTGGCTGTAGGGTTTTCTTGGCTGTAGGGTTTTCTTGGCTGTAATCTTTACAGAAGCAGATCACCAGGTCTTTCTCCCATAGAGCCTCTGGGTGGGTTTGAACTGGTAACCAAGTGACCCCCTACCTTCCTCCAATACGTAAAGTCATTAAATACACTTTAACTTTGTCATTTTAAAATGCTTTTTATAGTTTCACACTTTTTTCTAATAAACATTAAATCAGCTCTTATTAGCACATGAAAATATAATCCTTTGAAGGGGCAGAGTGTGGGTTTGTACTAGAAGAAAAAATAATTAAAACATTTATTTGTCTTAATTCTTACATACATACATTGACTAACAAGAATATAAATAAACCTATGAATAAATATATGTTCATGGATATTTATATGTATTTTTTAAAACTGGAAAAGAAAATATTTTCTTTCAGCACAAAATGCATTTGATTGAAACTCAGGATAGCCATTAATATGGTAGGTATAAGAATATGAAATAGACCACAAAAGACTTCAAAGCGGTAAAAGACTGCAAAGTAATAAGCTCTTTTTTGTTTTTTTCCTATGTATTAGCCACATTCAAACCTGTATTAGGTTTAACACACTGGGAACATGCCAATAAAGAAAATAAAGGGAAGTTGCCATTCCCCACATTTCCTAATGAGACTACAGATGCAGAAAGATTACAGTATGACCACGATCAAGGGTGGGTTTTACTATATAGATTAGCCCTCTCAGGATATGGGGAGTTTCGTTAAGAATAATCTTCCAGTCTTACAGAGACCAATAATAGAGTGAAGAAAGATGTAGAGGCTCCTTAAAGGTTGTGACTG